CAACCTCCTGGGCTTTTGTGATCCTCCTGCCTCAGCCTCCCAAAGTGTCAGGATTACAGGCATGAGCCACTGCACCCAGCCAAATCTGCTTCTCTTGAGCTTTGCCCATGTGTGAGGCATGTAGGACTTTATAGTCCTTATCTCTCATCATGAACTCTGGGTGCAGGCTGCTGCTACTCCCATTTTACAGATGTACGGGAACATTCTCAGACTCTTTAAGCTAGGAAGAGGCAGAGCCTGAGGCTAGACCTGCTAACTTGGGGCCAGATGGCCTCATTCATGCTTGACCCCAGCTTCTCGGACAGGACCTGGCCCACAGTGGGGAACAGGGGAGGTTGGTCAGTCCTGGACAATCAGTGAAGACCTTTAGCAGATTTCACCAACCAAAATTCATGCAGGAAAGCGTGTGTGTGTGTGTCTGTGTGTGTGTGTCTGTGTCTGTCTGTCTCAGGGTCTTACTCTGTTGCCCAGGCTGGAGTACAGTGGCACAATCTTGGCTCATTGCGACCTCTGCCTCCCAGGTTCAAGTGATTCTCCTGGCTCAGCCTCCTAAGTAGTTTGTACTACAGGTGTGCCAACACACCCAGCTAGGGAAAGCTATTTTTACGTGGCTCAAGCACTGTAAATGACAATGATGTTTACTTATTTCCCCCCCCCCCCCACACCACTACCATTTAATTCTCCTCTTGAAAACTAAAAACTGGCTGGGCATGGTGCATCATTCCTATAATCGCAGCACTCCAGCGCTTTGGGAGGCTGAGGCGGGAGGATCACTTGAGCTCAGGAGTTTGAGGCCAGCCTGGACAACATAGTGAGACCCCATCACTACAAGAAATAAAAAATTAGCTGAGTATAGTAGCATATGCCTGTAGTCCCAGCTACTTGGGAGGCCGAGGTGGGAGGATTGCTAGAGCCTGGCAAGTCAAGACTGCAGTGAACTGTGATTGCACCTCTGCACTCCAGCCTGGGTGACTCCCCACAGATAAATATGCTAACAGTGGTTTCAGCTGCTGGGGATTGGTTCAGACCTGGATGCATGGCTTCAGTAGCCCTGGGGCCCCACTGTCTGCCTGCAGCCGTCTGTCTTACTCTATGCTATTCCTTCCTATTCCCTGCCATCTAGGCTTTAGTCCTCTCTGCTTGGGAGGCCTGTCCCGCTCCTCAGCCTTATGTCATCTTATCCATCCTTTAAGGCCCTTGCTCCATGCCTTCCCTCCCAGGGTAGGGCTTGAAGGTAGGAGAATGTGGAGAACTGGTGCACCAGCCTTGCTCCCCAGCAGAGGAGCTCTGTTTACTGGAGTGCCTACTTAGGCCAGGGCCTGAAGACATGGGGCTGAGGTGTAGGGCTGTCAAGATTGTTCCTGGGGCCAGGTGCAGTAAGTTCACTCCTGTAATCCCAACACTTTGGGAGGCCAAGGCAGGTGGATCACCTGAGGTCAGGAGTTCAAGACCAGGCTGGCCAACATGGTGAAATTCCCGTCTCTACTAAAAATAAAAATAAAAAAAATTAGTCGGGCAGGATAGTGGGTACCTATAATCTCAGCTACTTAGGAGGCTGAGGCGGGAGAATTGCATGAACCAGGGAGGTGGAGGTTGCAGTGAGCTGAGATCGTGCCTCTGCACTCCAGCCTGGGCGACAGAGCAAGACTCCGTCCAAAAAAAAAAAAAAAAAAAAAAAGATTGTTCTTGGGCCCTCTGTGAAGCTTGGCTTCCTTTGGGTTAGGTGTGCCATGGCAGACCTGGGTGAGGGAAAAGGGAGTACAATGGGAAGGGCTTCCTCAGCTCTGGAGATAGGTAGGATTGGGGAGAGGCCAAAAGGTTCTTTGCTGGGTCATCTCAGGCTCGTGGGGCCATCAGAGTGTCCAGGCCCCAAAGGTGATTTTCCGGTGGTTCCAGGGGCAAGGAGCTAGGGCATGGTGCTGGCCCTGCCTGGTGATCACCTGTTGAGTGATCAGCTCAGGTCACCAGGGTCCAGCCATTGAGCTGACTACTGCTTCCACCCTGGGAAGATTGAACTGGCCAGGACTTGGCATCAAGGCCGTTATTTGGACTTCTAGTACTCACATTGTACTCTGGTTGGGTTGTAACTTACCTCTGGTACAACTCTACTTGTATCTTCAGAGAAGATCAAGGGATATTTGCAAAAACATTATCTGATAAAGGACTGTTGAAAGGACAAAGAAAACTGAAAAATCTGTAATAAGAAAACAACAATAAATAATACTGTGCACCTCTTACAATGACCAAAATCCAGAGCACTGCCAAATGCTGCTGAGGATGTAGAGCAACAGGAACTCTCGCTCTTTGCTGATGGGAATGCGAAATGGTGCAGCCACTTTGGAAGACAAGTTAGGCAGTTTCTTTCATTTATTTATTCATAAAATCTTTTTTTTTTTTTTTTTGAGACGGAGTTTTGCTCTGTAGCCCGGGCTGGAGTGCAGTGGCCGGATCTCAGCTCACTGCAAGCTCTGCCTCCCGGGTTTTTACGCCATTCTCCTGCCTCAGCCTCTGGAGTAGCTGGGACTACAGGCGCCCGCCACCTTGCCCGGCTAGTTTTTTTTTTTGTATTTTTAGTAGAGACGGGGTTTCACCGTGTTAGCCAGGATGGTCTCGATCTCCTGACCTCGTGATCCACCCGTCTCGGCCTCCCAAAGTGCTGGGATTACAGGCTTGAGCCACCGCGCCCGGCCATAAAATCTTTTTAACAAAGAAATTGAGTCTCACTCTTGCCCAAAATGGAGTGCAGAAGCTTGATCACAGCTCACTGCATTCTCAAACTCCTGGGCCTAAGAAGTCCACCCTTCTTAACCTCTCAAGTAGCTGAGACTACAGGCACACGCCACCATGCCAGGCTAATATATTTATTTTATTATTATTTTTTGAGGTGGAATCTCGCTCTGTCACCCAGGCTGGAGTGTAGTGGCGCAATCTCAGTTCACTGCAACCTCTGCCTCCAGGGTTTCAGCGATTCTCCTACCTCAGCCTCCTGAGTAGCTGGACTGCAGGCGGGCACCACTGCGCTCTGCTAATTTTTTTATATTTTTAGTAGAGACAGGGTTTCACCATGTTGGCCATTCTGGTCTTGAACTCCTGACCTCAAGTGATCTACCCAGCTTAGCCTCCCAAAGTGCTGGGATTACAGGTGTGAGCCACTGAGCCTGGCCCAGGCTAATATATTTTATTTTTATTTTTATTTTATTTTTTGTAGAGATGGGGTCTTGTTATGTTGCACAAACTGGTCTTGAACTCCCGGCCTCAAGTGATCCTCCCTCCCTGACCTCCCAAAGTGCTTAGATTACAGACACGAGTCACTGCTCCTGGCCCAGTTTGGCAGTTTCTTACAAAACTAAACATACCTCTTACCATTCAATCTTGCAATTACATTCCTTAGTATTTAGCCAAATGAATTGAAAACTTGTATCCACACAGAACCTGCACACAGATGCTTATAACAGCTTTATTCATTAATTGCTAAGGTTTGAAAGCAACCCAGATGTCCTTCAGTGGGTTAATGGATAAATTGTAGTACATATAGACAAATGATATTTAACACTAAGAAGAAATGAGGCTGGGTGCAGTGGCTCACACCTGTAATCCTAGCACTTTGGGAGGCCGAGACAGGCAGATCTCTTGAGCCCAGGAGTTTGAGACCAGCCTGAACAACATAGCAAAACCCAGTCTCTACAAAAGTACAAAAAATTAGCTGGGCGTGGTGGTGCCTATCTGTAGTCTCAGCTACTTGGGAGGTTGAGGTGGGAGGACTGCTTGAGCCTGTGAAGTCAAGGTTGCAGTGAGCCAAGATCATGCCACTATACTCCAGTGGGCAACAGAGCAAGACCCTGTTAAAAATAAATAAGTAAGTAAGTATGAAGGGAAGAAAAACAAGTAACAGCTGGGCACAGTGGCTCATGCCTATAAACCCTGCACTTTGGGAGGCCGAGGTTGGCAAATCACTTGAGGTCAGAAGTTCAAGACCAGCCTGGCCAACATGGTGAAACCCCATCTCTACTAAAGATACAAAAATTAGCTGGGCATTGAGGTGGGTGCCTGTAATCCCAGCTACTTGGGAGGCTGAGGCAGGAGAATTGCTTGAACCCAGGAGGCGGAGGTTGTGGTGAGCCAAGATTGTGCCACTGCACTCCAGTCTGGGCAACAGACTCTCAAAATAAATATATAAATAAAAAGAACAAATAGCTTCTAACAACAAATTTATTTCTCAGTTATTGAGGCTGGGAAGTCTGAAGATCAAGGCTCCAGCAGATTCAGTGGCAACTGAGGGCCTGCTTTGTGGTTTATAGATGGTGCCTTCTCACTGTGTGTTTGTATGATGGAAAGGGCAAGGCAGTTCTTGGGGTCCTCTTTGATAAGGACACCAATCCCATCATGACCTAATCACTTCCCAGTGGCCCCAACTCCTAATACCATCACATTGGTGATTAGGTTTCAACATAAGATTTTTGGGGAGATACATTCAGACATAGCAGCTACATATTGCATGATTCCAGCTTGTCTGATAACCACATAAAACCTATAGAATATGCAACACCAAGTGTGAGCCCTAACATAAACTAGGGAATCTGAGAGGTCATGATGTGTTAAGGTAAAAGGTTCATTGATGGTAACAAATTTGCCCCTCTGGCGAGAGATGCTGATAGTGGGGAAGGCTGTGTGTATTTAGGGGCAGGGGGTATATAGGAACACTCTGTCCTTTCCTCTCAGTTTTGCTGTATACCTAAAGGTATTCTAAAAAGTAAAGTCTATTTTTTAAAAAAGTATAAAGAGACCAGGACATCAATCTCAAGCCTTTTCTCAGTTTAGGAGATATCTTGCTCTAGAAATACTAATGGGTGGCTAGGTTGTCCTGAAGGTGGCAGGGCTTCAGTTGATACTTGAATCCCTTGAAATAAATTGATTTTTCAGATAAACAATTGAAACATTCCTATCTTGGCCATAGGTTTATGAACCATGGTGTGTTCATTTTGATCTCTCTTTCCTTCCAGGACAACCCTCCATATGATAAGGGGGCCTTCAGAATCGAAATCAACTTTCCAGCAGAGTACCCATTCAAACCACCGAAGATCACATTTAAAACAAAGATCTATCACCCGAACATTGACGAAAAGGGGCAGGTCTGTCTGCCAGTAATTAGCGCTGAAAACTGGAAGCCAGCAACCAAAACCGACCAAGGTAAGACATGTGCCTGTGTCTTCCTTGGAGGGGGTCTTTGGGGGTGCTGCTCTGGGGTGGGGGTTTCTGATACCAGATCAGACAGAATCCAGAGAATCTTTCCTACCTTACCAGGTACACGCAAAATGTAGCTGAGGTCCTGTCAGGCCTTGTGGGAATGACTCATCTCAGCTGAACTTTTGACCTGTGCAGGGATTGAGGAGGCCCTCCCAGTGCTCAACCCTGGGCTGCTGTCCACAGTGGGAACACACATGGACAGACAAGCCCAGCGGCTTGCTGCTGGTGCAGAGGGGTTCAGGCCCTGGTTTCTGGAAGGGATGAAGGACTGTGGGGCTGCCTACAAGGGGAAGGGAGAGTGGGATTTAAGGTGGCCTTACACAGTAGTTAGTGCCTGAACTCAGACTCCATGGAGGAAAGGAGGTTGGAGAGGGCCTTCCAGGCTATAGGAAGGGGGTGAGCTAGAGCCTAGTGGCTCAAGGGGTGATGTGAGCAGAGGGACAGAGGCAGATGTAAGGGCAGTATTCCCAGATGAAGGCACATGGTTGGCTTTAGTGGGCCTGGGATTCCCTGGAGTTGGATGTGGCTGTGCGTGGTGCATGTGTCTGTGTGTGGCTGTGTGAACATACACATGCTCATTCTTCTGGGAAGAGTATTCGAGTCAGTATTGTGGTTGTCCTCACATTTGTCCCCTAGAAGTGACTAGAGTTTGTTATGGACTGTGTCTAGTTTTCATTTAATTCCAGACTTTCTTTGGAAGCCCTCATCTCATATTGTGGTGGCTTTCTTTTAGTGTAAAGTCTGTTTAGATTAGAGTGGGCAAAGCTGGCACCTGAGAGGCTGCAAGTGGAGGGTTTCTTTGGGTGGTACTGCTCTCGGGTGGGGGCTCATGGGTCCTTTCTAATGCCAGCTCCGACAGAGTGCAGAGAACTCCTGCCTTGCCAGGTGCACGCAAAGTATGGCTGAGGTCCCACCAGTCCCATGGGAATAACTCAGTTGAACTTTTGACCTGCACAGGGATTGAGGAGGTCCTGTGTTTCAGTGACTGAGAAAAGCCCTGGAAGGTGGCGTGGAAAGCCTTTCACAAGAAAAGTTGAGCCTCACTTGTTGGAAATAATCACCATGAAAGGTGCCCATTAGACTCCCACACTGAGTAGAAGAAAGGAGTGGGTGCTAAACATTCGGTCAGGGCAGAACAGTCTCTAGTGGGCTTGGTCCTTGTTTGTGTACAAGTTGATGTTTATAAAAGCTTGACACAGTTCTTCTCAGTGCACATGGCCTGGTCTTGTTGTGTCATGTCGTGTCGTGTCGTGTCGTGTCCTGTCTTTTTTTGAGACAGAGTCACCTAGGCTGGAGTGTAGTGGTGCCATCCCAGCTCACTGCAACCTCCGCCTCTTGGGTTCAAGCGATTCTCCTGCCTGAGGCTTCCGAGTAGCTGGGATTACAGGCGCCCGCCACCATGCCTGGCTAATTTTTGTATTTGTAGTACAGACAGGGTTTCATCATGTTGGCCAGGCTGGTCTTGAACTCCTGACCTTAGGTGATCAACCGGCCTCAGCCTCCCAAAGTGCTGGGATTACAGGCATGAGCCACCATGTCCGGCCGACCTGGGTTTTTTTTTTTGTTTTTTTTTTTTTTTTTGTTTTGTTTTTTTGAGACGGAGTCTCGCTCTGTCGCCCAGGCTGGAGTGCAGTGGCGCGATGTCAGCTCACTGCAAGCTCCGCCTCCCGGGTTCACGCCATTCTCCTGCCTCAGCCTCCCGAGTAGCTGGGACTACAGGCGCTGCCACCACGCCCGGCTAGTTTTTTGTATTTTTAGTAGAGACGGGGTTTCACCGTGTTAGCCAGAATGGTCTCGATCTCCTGACCTCGTGATCCGCCAGCCTCGGCCTCCCAAAGTGCTGGGATTACAGGCGTGAGCCACCGCGCCCGGCGACCTGGTTTTTTTTTTAATACAGATTCCTAGCACTGTTGAAAACCTATAACTGCATTTGATCAAGAGTGTTCAATAATTCCTGGAGTCCTTGCTGAGTCATGTCTGTTAAACTACCGTGCCTGGGGAGTGGCAGTCCTTCTAGGCCAGGCTGCCTAGGAAAGCCCTGCACCTCAAGTTCTGGCCACAAAGAGTTCTGGGACTCCTTCCTTACCTGTAGACTGAGAGGGTGGAGCTAGGGCCAGGGAGGCTCTCAGGAGATAGATGCACGCGCTTTGCCGCCTCTCATGGGGCTGCTGTGTAGAAGGCCGTGGCAGGATTATTCACTTTTTACCTTCCTCTCCAGGTGCATTGCCAAAATGCTGTGCTTTTTCACACTGTGGCTGCTTTTTTTTTTCCCCCCTAAAGGGCCAAATAACTTAGGGGCAGCTTTTAATTTTTTTATAAAAAGTACTGTTGACTTGGGATTTTTAAGGTAAAAATTTTGGTACAGGAGCTTTTCTGTGTGCCACGATGGACAGAGCCAGAATTGCTATTTTGTGATTTGGAACAGTTGAGGATTCCTTCCTAGAACATTATTATGTAGATTGTTTGTGGCATGGCCTTGATTCATCCTCACATGCATCAAGAATGTTCCTGGCACTTGATGGCCACATTCCCATGTTTGTTATCTATTACTACATTATAACCCCTATCAAAACTTTGTGGCTTAAAGTAACACCAGTTTATTAGTTTTTACTCTGGAGGTTGGCTGGGCTCAGCTGCATGGTTCTACAGCTGACCATTCGTTCCTGGGGTCACTCATGCAGCTGTATTGAGCTGAGAACTCAATTTGACTGGGAAGTGCTGGTAGGCATCGTGCACATGTGTGGAAATGGCATTAGCTAAGGCACTTTGGTTCTCTTTGTGTTCTCGTATTTTCCACAAGGCTAGATTGAACGCTTTCAGAGCATGGTGGTGTCAGGGTTCCAGGGTGAAGGTACAGAACTGGTACAGTGTCGCTTCTGCAGATTCTTTTGGTCAGGCAAGTCCAGATTTAATGAGAGGGAAAATAGACTTCAGCTCTTGATGGGAGGAGCATGCAGGATGGGAGACAGGATGGCAGAGGTGGGACAGGCAGGCAAGGATGCTGAGTCCCCTTGCTGCCTCCTCAGACCCACTTGGGCCTGCTTTTCCCAAATGGCAGCTCTTCTGGACATGCCATTCCTTCTCCCACCTGCCTGATTCTTCATATGTTGGGTGTCCCTGTTTTTCTGGTGCTATTTCCTGACTGCTGTTCAGCTGCCACTGTCCTGCAAACCCTGCCCTTTCAAATGCCTCACCATTCCTTCATTTGTTTCCTAAATATGGTAAGTGAAAGTGCCACTTGAGGCCGGGCACAGTGGCTCACTCCTATAATCCCAGCATTTTGGGAGACTGATGCAGGCAGATTGCTTGAGCCAAAGAATTTGAGACCAGCCTGAGCAACACGGTGAAACCCTGTCTGTACCAAAAAAAAAAAAAGGAAGGAAAGAAAGAAAGAGAAAGCCAATTGTGCCACCCTCCTGCTGTAATCTTCCAGTGCTCTTCCTTTGTCCCCAGAGCACCTGCTTATGATTTTTGTCTCCTGCCCTTGTCCTTAGAAACTTCGACATTCCCAATTATGGCTTCTTCCAGATCCAGCCTTGAAGTTCTTTGACCTCCTCAATTCACAACCTCTAGCTAACTTTAGCCATCTACAAGTACAGAAAAGTAAGCATAATGGAAGAAATAGTAATATGAAAAGATGCTTATATGACCCAGCAGTTCCCCTCTTAGCTATATCTACCCAAGAGAAATGAAAACATATGCTCAATAAAAACTTGTACACAGATGTTCATAGCACCATTATTCACAATGAACAGGAAGTGGAAAGAGCCCAAATGTCCATCAGTTGGTGAGTGAATAAACAAAATGTGAGCCAGGAGCGGTGGCTCACGCCTGTAATCCCAGCACTTTGGGAGGCTGAGGTGGGTGGATCACCTGAGGTCAGGAGTTCAAGACCAGCTTGGCCAACATGGTGAAACCCTGTCTCTACTAAAAATACAAAAAATTAGCTGGGCGTGGTGGCGAGCACCTGCAATCCTAGCTACTTGGGAGGCTAAAGCAGGAGAATCGCTTGAACCTGGGAGGTGGAGGTTGCAGTGAGCCAAGATTGCGCCACTGCACTCCAGCCTGGGCAACAAGAACCAAACTCCCTCTCAAAACAAAACCAAGCAACAACAAAAAAGTAGTGTATCTCTACAATGAAATCTTATTTAGCCATAAAAAGCAATGAAGTACTGTCTTATGGTACATAAATGTTGAAAATATGCTAAATGAAAGAACCATCCATGGAAGGCCACATATTGTATGATTCCATTTGTGGTTGAGCCTCATTGTTCATAGAGTCTGTGTTTGTGAATTTGCCTACTCACTAAAGTTTTTTGTAGCCCCAAAATCAATATTCTCGGCACTTCTGGTCTATCACAGATGTGCGCATGTGCAGAGCAGCAAAAAATTTGAAGTACCCAGTGCACGTGTTACAGGCTCACGCCTGTAATCCCAGCACTTTGGGAGGACGAGGCAGGCAGATCAAGACCATCCTGGGTAACACGGTGAAACCCCATCTTTACTAAAAATACAAAAAATTACCAGGTGTGGTGGTGGATGCCTGTAGTCCCAGCTACTCGGGAGGCTGAGGCAGGAGAATCACTTGAACCCAGGAGGGGGAGGTAGCAGTGAGTTGAGATTGCGCCACTGCACTCCAGCCTGGGCGACAGAGGCAGACTCCATCTCTGCTTCTCAATTAAAAAAAAAAAAAAAAAAAAATTAAGACTTGATCAAATTAGTGAAAGTGAAACTTTAGAAAATAATGAAATAGACAAATGGCATCTTTTGAGAAATAGGTCTTTTATTTTTAATTTTTATTTTTTAATTTTTTTTGCGATAGGGTCTCGCTCTTGCTCAGGCTGAGTATAGTGGCACAATCACAGCTCACTACAGCCTCAATATTGTGGGCTTGAGCAATCATCCCACCTCAGCCTCCCAAGGAGCTGGGAGTACAGGCATGTACCACCATGCCCAGCTAATTTTATTTTTTAATTTTGTAGAGGCCAGGTCTTGCTGTGTTGCCCAGGCTGGTCTCAAACTCCTGGCCTCAAGTGATCCTTCCTCCTTGGCCTCCCAAAAGTGCTGGGAATACAGGTATGAGCCACCAACCTCTGCATTAGTCACCAAGGTGATGATAGTGAGAAGTAGAGAGCCTAAGTATTCATATCAGAGAGTGAGGTGAAAATGAGCGTGCCCCTGACAAAGTACTCAGCCTGTCCTTAGCCCAGCAAGGTTTCTAAAATGCTAATACAGTGGTAATTCTCCTGTTAGAGAGCCATTTCTAATCATGGGAAAAGAAAGGGAGCCACCTGTTTGTGCTCTTAGGCGACTGTTGTTCAGTTTCCAACCCTGAAGTCAAGAACAGCCAGGAAAAGGGAGCAGTCTCACACCGAGGGTGGCGTGCACTGAATACACTGTGGCCAGTGAGCCAAGGGTGGGCTTCGTTTATTAATTAAATAAATGTTTATTAAATCAAAATACACCTCCAGGGCCTGCTGCCTCTAGGTGGCTTGTACAGGGAGGTGATACCATCTACCCCTGAGGAGGCTTGGAGACTAAATTAGAGGCCACCCTGGCTTGCAGAGAGCTTTCCAGGCCCCTTGCCCCTGCTTGCTGTTGACAGTCCACCCTCCTTGCCCAACCATCCCCTAGCCCCAACAAATGTGGAACCTGTCAGCCTTGCATGCGCCATGCCCTCCTCGCCTCTGCCCCACTGCTTCATCTCTACCCGCTGTGGTCACAGGAGCTCTCTCTTTTCCCTTCTCACCAGGCATGGTAAGAAGCAGAGGTTAGGCAGGTGGGCTTTGGATACCAGGCCAGGAGTACTTTGTGCTGTGGCCCTCACTATGTGCTGTTGAATGATTGTGCCTTTGCATATGACTCAGCCAGCATCAGCATTTTGTTTTATTTATTTATTATGTATTTATTTTTGAGACAGAGTCTTGCTCTGTCACGCAAGCTAGAGTGCAGTGGCACGATCTCGGCTCACTGCAACCGCCATCTCCTGGGTTCAGACGATTCTCCTGCCTCAGCCTCCCGAGTATCAGGGACTATAGACATGGGCCACTGTGCCTGGCTAATTTTTTGTATTTTTAGTAGAGACGGAGTTTCACCATGTTGGCCAGGCTGGTCTTGAGCTCCTAACCTCAGGTGATCTGCCTGGCTAGCATCAGCATTTTAGTCCATTTCTTGTAATGCTGAGTGAACGATACGAGCCCTCAATAAAGGAATTGTGGCATCAGCAGTTCGGAGAAGAGGGGCACCATTTTACAATGGGAAGGAACATTCTGAGGGTGCTGATCCTGACAGGGTTGGGGTCAGCTGTGGCAAAGTATGTGAGGAGGTGTGGGTAGCAGCTGCTTCTGATTCCCCACTATCCTTCCACCCTGGAGCACATCTGGGCTATGGCACCTAGGGGGAGTACTGTCGCACCCATCAGAGCCATCAGTGTGACATCTGCCTGTGGTCTTGACAGTGTGATGCGATGGCGGTTGTCAGCTTCCCATTGGCTGGCCCCAGTGATCCTTTCTGGAGGGTGCAGAAACTCCTAAGGGTCTTCCAGAGTTGGGTCGTTGCACATTGATAAGTGCAGTGCTGCCACATACCCTTCTTTCTAGTGCCCACTCAGTCACCTTAACCAAAACTTCCCTGAGCCGAACATGGTGCTGGGTGCTGGGCTGATGCAGGGAAGTTCTACCCAGTCCTGCCCCGAAGAAAGTGACCCTGTGTGTGTGTGTGTGTGTGTGTGTGTGTGTGTGTGAGAGTGAGCAGTTCAATGCTAGGCCTCCTATCTCCAGAGCACACAAGAGGACTGGATTAGCCAGGCATGGTGGTGCGCGACTCTAGTCCCAGCTACTCGGGGGACTGAGGCTGGAAGATTGCTTGAGGTCAACCCAGGAGGTTGACGCTGCTGTGAGCCAAGATGGTGCCACTGCATTCCAGCCTGGGTGACAGAGTGAGACCCTGTCCCTCCTCCCCAACCCCCTTCCAAGAAAAAAGGGCTGGGAGTGACTGAGGGCTAAGACTTCCCCAGGTGTCAGGTCAGGAAGGTTTCCTGGAGGCGGAAGCACATCACTGTGAAAAATTATCCACCGTAGTGTTAGCTATTTGTTGTCCATCAATGTCTCCTAATCACAGAGGAAAGATGAGTTTTCTGGGGGTCAGAATTTTGGATAGATAGGCTGCTTTGGCTTAAAAGCACATTAGCTATAAACCAGTGGTAAAGCCAGAGTTTTGTTCCCGGGATTAGCTGCCTCTTGCCTGTGCCATTTCTGAGACTGTGTTAACCCCCCATGCCTTGTCCTTCTCTTGGCAGTAATCCAGTCCCTCATAGCACTGGTGAATGACCCCCAGCCCGAGCACCCGCTTCGGGCTGACCTAGCTGAAGAATACTCTAAGGACCGTAAAAAATTCTGTAAGAATGCTGAAGAGTTTACAAAGAAATATGGGGAAAAGCGACCTGTGGACTAAAATCTGCCACGATTGGTTCCAGCAAGTGTGAGCAGAGGCCCCGTGCAGTGCATTCAGACACCCCGCAAAGCAGGACTCTGTGGAAATTGACACGTGCCACCGCCTGGCGTTCGCTTGTGGCAGTTACTAACTTTCTACAGTTTTCTTAATCAAAAGTGGTCTAGGTAACCTGTAAAGAAAGGATTAAAAATTTAAGATGTTCTAGTTCTGCTCTCTTTGTTTTAAAAATCACTGCTTCAATCTATTCCAAAAGAATGGTGTTTCTTTTCTTGTCCAATTTTATCCAAAATCTTCAAGTTGCATTTAGCCCATAATGTTTAAAAAAAAGGAAAAAAAAGGTTGTGGTTCCCTTTCTTCCCTACCCTTGCCACTCCCACTTTCTGGCACTGAGTTTATTTTTCACTTACTTCCCCAGACCCGGGGCCCGCCTCCACAAAAGAGAAGAGACTGCCCTGGCGGTCCTGGTGGCTTTTCTTAGCACGTGTGGGACTGTTGCCCAGTGTGGGAGTTGGTTTAAATTCTCCTGACTCCAGTTTATAACATCCTTTTAAAAATTTTAAAAACAAACAGCCACACCCCTCCTCCAGTCCTTCTCAGTTCTTGTGTGAATCTCCAGCTGATGTTACCACAGTAACATGAGTTAATTGGGCAAGCTCTGATGTCAGTGTGTGTAACTGACCTCTGGCCTGGCCTGCACAGACAAACCCTATAATCACAGGTCTGTGGTGGCCCCGAAATGGGGGGCCTGCTAGTCAGGAGGATGCTGTGCACACTGTGTGTGATGAATCTCGCCAGAAAGGCTCCTGATGTCCCAGGTTGGCACTTCTTCCTGCAGCCATTGTAGAAGATCTGCTGGTCCTTGCAGGCAAAGCTACAGCCAGAATGTCCGTTTGAAATTCCCAGCTCATCTGTCACCGAGTTTCATCTGAATGTGCCACGGAGCTTGCTCTCCACTTCCTCTGTGCAGCGGCCCCGCCACAGCCCTCCCTCGGCACACTTTGACCCTTTGTAGGATTGGAATTAGCAGGACTCGGCTATTTAAAGCACCAGTCTGGGGTCTCCTGGGCCCCTGCTGACCCCTTCCTCCAGAGCAGCTGGCCCAGCCCGGGAACAAGACGGACTTCCTCTCCCTTTGGACTCACAGCCTTTGCAGAGTCAAGCTCCACTTGAAGCTCACTCAGTAATATCCTTTCAATGTGTTTTATATTGTTTTGACTGCCTTTTTTTGTAGAAATAAAAATTGACCTTAGAATTTATCATCAGATAAACTTGTAAAGATTTGAATATTAATGTCTTTTCAAGGCAAATGGGATTGTCCCCAAACTAGTAGAGAATCCGTGTCACTCTGACACCCCAAGGAAGCCGACGATCCAAATGCCGTGTGTCACCAACCCCGCTTCTGCCACTGGTGGCTTCCCTTCTTGGCTTTTGGGGGGGGACTAGATCCTGTGGAGAAGATGACTTAAACTTTGCTTTTTGTTTTAATTTTAATTCTAGATCTTTCCGGTCTGATCTGTGCAGAAGTGGGGAGTGATGGGCAGGTTAGGCAGCCTAACATCATTCAGGCGCGTGGCCCCTGTGGTGTGTACATGAACTCAGCTTCTTTTGTCCTAGGTACGCCAAGGGCAGGTTTCTGGAGACTCGTGTGCCCAGGATGGCAAGGGCACCGGGCTGGCGTTTCCGTATATGTGTCTTCATTAGCAGAAAAATGATGGATTTTATTTCACTCACACTCCAATTTGTAATAAAATGCCAAATTCTGTCAGAAACTATCCAAACAAGCCACCATTTGTTCTTGTTGCTTCTCTGGATCCAGAAATGTTGCCATTCTTGGAAACTGTCCCATTGCTTCATATTTCTGCCAACGTAGCTCTGCCTGCCTGTCACCCCCTCACTGCGCTCTGCTCACCACGGGAGGATACCTGTGTGCCAGCAGCCCCTCAGGGACTCTCAGCCCTGGCACTGGCACCCCAGGGTTGGCCCCGTCAGCAGAGGCCTGGCTTTCGAGCCAGTGGGTGTCTCTCCTTCGGGCCTGGGCGACTTGCTCCTGCCAGCCATGCCCTCAGGGTAGGCTCTGAGCAAGCTGGTGAACAGCCTTGGCTGCTCCAAAACCAAAAAGCTGGGTCCTCTGGAGGAGGGGCGAGCTGTGGAGCAGCCACCCACTGCTGCCCCTAGCTCACTCAGGAATTCACACCCGCCTGGTTTCTTGAAGTGTGCCGGGTCCTTCCCTCTGCTCCCCACTCCCCACCACGGCAGAGAATAGGCTTTCTAAGATGCTGCGATCCCGTTCTGCTGCCCTTAATAAAAATGCTCTCAGACACTGGTTAGTCGTGTGGGTTTCTTCCTTCCTGGGAGCGGGCAGTGCCAGGGGCCTGTGCTCTTGGAGATGGGAGGGCTGGCTGGGGCCCAGGTCCTGGGGCTTCTGATCTCTCTCCCATTCCCAGCCTCTCCAAAAGAGGTACATAGAGGTGTTCCTGCCTCCCTAGAGGGAAGGAGATGAGGTATAATCAACGAGAAAGCCAGAGACTCCAGACAGTCGGGGCCTGCAGAGGGCGCTCTTGGATGTCTTGTGAGGGGACAGGGAATAACGTGTGGGTGCATCACTTACATGTGGGAGTCATCCTGGAGCCCCCTGGGAGTGTTACGATCCGTGTTTTGAAGAGGCAAACCTGGGGTCCCAAGAGGTCACAGAATTAATAAGGCTGTGCCTGAGGGTGGAGCTGGACCATGTCCATGAATGGTGCCAGCCAGAAACACTATTTGAGTCCCCCAGTGCAGCCCGCTGCCAGGCGCTACAGCAGTGGTGCTGACTCAGCAAGGGCTCAGCCAGGCCCAGGACTTTTGGCCAGGCCTTCCCTGCCTGGAATTTGACACCTGCTGAGACCAGGCCTGCACTGTCAGCTGGATCTGCAGGTCTTGGGGAAGGAAGCTTCCTGGGGTGTCATTTTACTAGCCTTTAACATACCTAGCACTTTACCCTCTGAGCCTCAGGAGAGCCCTGTGGCATCCTTATCCCTGCTTTTAAAGACAACCAAGACCCCTGGCCTGTTTTTGTTCACATTCTGACTGCAGAGCCTGTTGCATTCCACTACTTGGCACGTTTCCTCCCACAGGGTCCCTCTGAGCCCAGAAACAGCCAGTTACCCCCCTCCCCAAAGCCAGAGACCTTTAAGCCCCTCTGTCAACTTCCTCTTTCCTGCAGCCACCGGCCACCAGTTTTGGCCTTGTTCACTATTAATTATTCAGCTTGAAATAAGCATCCATTTCATCACTCCTGTACCTGCCGCAGCCTGACTTCTGTCACCTGCTGCCCCTTGCTGCTGCTCCTTTGATTTGGTGCCATCTAACCCAGCCCTAAAAGAAAGCCAGAGCTGGCCGGGCGCGGTGGCTCAAGCCTGTAATCCCAGCACTTTGGGAGGCCGAGACGGGCGGATCACGAGGTCAGGAGATCGAGACCATCCTGGCTAACACGGTGAAACCCTGTCTCTACTAAAAATACAAGAAAATTAGCTGGGCGAGGTGGCGGGTGCCTGTAGTCCCAGCTACTCGGGAGGCTGAGGCAGGAGAATGGCGTGAACCCGGGGAGGCGGAGCTTGCAGTGAGCCGAGATCGCGCCACTGCACTCCAGCCTGGGGCACAGAGCAAGACTCCGTCTCAAAAAAAAAAAAAAAAAAAAAAAAGCCAGAGCTGCTCTCTGCATTTCCCACCCTGTCCTGCCCACCTCTTCCTCCTCTCCCTGCTTCCTGGGTATGGCGTGGGGGAAGGGCACCAACCTGGAACAGAGGGGAGCTGAGGGTACCATTGCTCCCAGTGCAGTGCAGTGCTTGGCCCAGGCCATGCCTGGTAAGTGGCCATTTCCCAGATTATTGGAATGTGTTCTTGTTCACTGACGGTTCCTAGGGAACCCTGGAGGCCTCAGAGGATCAGAGTGGAAAGGATCACCGTGCAGAGGCCGTAACTGAGGCCCTTGGAAGGAAGTCACTTGCAGAGAGCATTCCCTACCCTGTGCTGGCCAGGTTCGGAAACCGCCCTGTGGCTGCACACGTTGCCGCGGGTTTCTCCTACATCTTCCTGTGTCACTGGATGGACTGTCCTTGTGTGTACCAGACTGGGAGCTCCTTGCAGACCAGGCCGTTTCAGCTCCAGCCCTGGCCTGGCACAGTGTGGACCCTCCAGACACGAATGCTGAGTGGGTGGGTAACAGTGAACCACTTGGCTAAGACATACCCCTGTTGCTGCCCCCACAACCTCCGTGGGCCACAAGTCACCACCCTAACAGGTCCTTACCACTTTCACCTCCTCGTGAGGAGGGCCTCATTATAATCAGGTGGGCCTGATTATCCTGTGAGTCTGTGGCCCCTCACTTCACTCTTTTTTTTTGAGCCGAGCTCACTCTGTCACCCAGGCTAGAGTGCAGTGGCATGATCACTGCTCCCGGCAGCCTCTACCTCCCAGGCTCAATAGATCCTCCTATCTCTGCCTCCTGAGTAGATGGAACTACAGGCTCGTGTCACTACACCCGGCTAATTTTTGTATTTTTTATAGAGACAGGGTTTTGGCATGTTAGTTAGTCTGGTCTCGATCTGCTAGCCTCAAGCCTTCCCGACTCAGCCTCCCAAAGTGCTGGGATTACAGGCGTGAGCCACTATGCCCAGCCATTATTTTTTCTTTTTAAAATAACAGAAATGAGGTCTTACTGTCTTGTCCAAGCTGGTCTCGAACTCCAGAGCTCAAGTAATCCTCCCACTTCAGGCTCCCAAAGCGCTGGGATGATAGGTGTGAGCCACTGTGCCTGGCTTCACTTCACTCAAATGCTCATGGTCAGCAGGGCGCTGTGGCTGACGCCTGTAATTCCAACACTGAAGGAAAGGCCAAGGTGACCAGATCTCTTGATCCCAGGAGTTTGAGACCAGCATGGGCAACATGCCAAAACCCCATCTACAAAAAATAAAAAATGAACCAGACATGCCTGTGTTCCCAGCTCCTCGGGAGGCCAAGGTGGGATGATCAACTGAGCCTGGGGAGGTCGAGGACTGCAGTGATTGTGCTACTGTACTCCAGCCTGGGTGACAGGATGAGATCCTGTCTTTAAAAAAAAAGTTCATGGTCCCCAGCGCTGCTGTCGGCTCTTTGCTCATCCCTCCTTCCCTCCGTGGGTGACAGTAGCCACTCATCTAGCATCTGTGCAGACGCCCAGATCTCTCCTGCCCACCCACACCTCTCTCCTGAGCCTAGAGCTGCACAACCAGCTGCCTGCTCCTCTCAGAACACTTCCATAACAGAAGCCCCTCAAGGGAGCTGCGTCTGTGCCCCCGGCTAACTTCAGGCCACCCCTCTCCCAGCCCCAGCCAGGAGTGTGGCCAGATCTCAGTAGGCTGAGGCGAGGAGATGGAGGCTAGGCAGCAGGAGGAGCCACCGTACAGTGATTCCAGCTCACAAGCATGGGTGCAAGAAAGCAGGAAAAGGGCTGTGGATGGGAGAGTCCAAGTCTAGTGAAGGTCAAGATGGAAGACGAGTGTGGAGCCAGAAAAAGGGACTGAAGCTGCAGTCAAGGGGATGGGGCATGGGTGGGTAGAAGCAGGAAGGCGGAGAGACACCCCACACTCACCCTTCAGAAAGCCACACGACCCTCTAAGCTGCCTAGGCTGGGTGAGAGCTCTCTTGGCCACTGATTCCATGTTTGGCCCAGGCTAGGGCCTGGTGCACATTAAATAAATGAATGAGTAGTTTCAAAGCCCTGTTCTGCCACTCCTGCCTCTACCCCTGTAAAATGGGGAGATCAGTGCCTGCCTCATAGATGCTATTTCATGAAATGAGATAAGAACCACATGGTATTCCATCTGCCTTTCCATCCTCCGGAGTGGGGCAGAAGGACTCTGTGCTCCAGAGGACTCCCACTGCCTTCCCCATCTGCTCCTGCACCTCAGGAGCTTTCGCCCAAGCCACATGGGGCCCCAGTCCACAGGGCATCCCTACATTGCCAGGTCAAGTTAGGAACCTCTGTATCCCATTTCCTGGGAAGACTGCTCCTCCTAGAAAAATTTAAATGTATTCCCACGGGGTTGCAGGGTCTCCTCACGCCTATCCCCTAGAATGGCTTACATCTAAACAGATGACTTCTTTTTCTTTTTTTTCCTTTTTTTCCGAGACGGAATTTCACTCTTGTTGCCCAAGCTGGAGTGCAATGGCGCAATCTCGGCTCACCATAACCTCCGCCTCCCGGGTTCAAGCGATTCTCCTGCCTCAGCCTCCTGAGTAGCTGGGATTATAGGCATGCACCACCAACGCCCAGCTAATTTTGTATTTTTAGTAGAGATGGGGTTTCTCCATGTTGGTCAGACTGGTCTCAAACTCCTGACCTCAGGTGATCCACCTGCCTCGGCCTCCCAACGTGCTGGGATTACAGGTGTGAGCCACCGCACTCGGCCTACAGGTGACTTCTAAAAATCAATACTGAGATTATAGTATTATGCCTCTTCAAAAGCAGCCTGGTGAGGACAGTCTTCTCCCACTCCCACCCCCTAAAAAGGAATAAAGAAAACCGCAGCATGAACAAATGAACAAAACCAGAATGGAGAATGGGCCATTTCCTGGAGTGGTTTGAGCCAAGAGGGAGCTGCTCTTTGTCCCTGCTTGTTTCTGTCTCCTGGGCAGAGCTAATAAACCACCCAAGTTTGAAAGACACACGTTATTTTATTAATATAGCCATCTCTCCCCACTGCCCCAGTAGTGAAGGTGTTTGCACTGCAGCATGGAGGGGCACCAAATGCTCTGCGGGCCCTAGCCCGCTGCCACAGGATGGACCCGCCTGCAGCCAAGAAGGCTGCTCAAACTCTAGATACCATTTGGAGCCATGAGGACCTGGGCCCAGACGTGGCAGTGTCCTACCCAGGGAAGTCAACAGACCCTGCTCCAGGGACCGGTTCTGGGCTGGGCCAGGACTAAATCCTGGCTCCCCTTGCTTGGTAGTAAAGGGATTAGTGCTTGGTTGTCGGTAGCGGGTCAGAGTAGGGAGGGTTCCAGGAAGGGTTCCAGAGTGGCCTCACGGGGGACCTCCTCCCCTGGCCTCTTGGAGTCCAGGTCGTCGAGGGCGCAAAGCTGCACGCCATCCTGGGCAAGCCGGGTCCGCAGCGTGGGCGCGGTGAGGACGCGCAGCTCATGCAGCCGCTCCCAAGAGCAAGAGAAAGCGTCGGGGCCTTCACCGCAGCCGCCGGTGGGAGGCACACTGGGATAGCCGGGGTGCGCCATCAGCTCGGCTGTCAGCGTGTGGCCCGCTAGGGTACCTTCCAGGACCCGCGCCAGGGCCCCGGACACGCGGTGAGCGGACATGTGCCGGCCGCAAGTGCTCAGACCCACAAAGGCGTCTGTCCACCTGTAGTGGGCGGGGCATCAGCCGCGGGGCCAGGCCAGGCCATGACCAGGGCTAGGCTAGGGTAGGGTAGGATAGGGTAGGGACCGGGGGCGGGAGGGGGAAACTGGGGTGGCGGCAGCGATCGACGCCAGACTCGCTTCCGGGCTGAGAAACGGACACAGCTAGCCAGGTGAATAGTCAGTGCGGAGGGACTGGGGCAGCTATGGTAGGAGACAGGGCGGGAAGCCTCACCGGAGGCCGTGGCGGGAGAAGGGGCCCACGGCGGCCCGGGCGTCGCGCTCCACGGCGCAGGCGAAGGCGCGCGCGGGGGCCTCCAGCCAAGTGCAGCCACCCACACCGCGCTCCAGCGGCAGTCGCGTAAAGCGCACCCCATAGGCCTGCAGCGCCTCGGCGAACACCTGGCACACGCCTGCGGGCGGAGCGGGTCTAGGAGGAGCACGTCCCTTCACCTGGGGGCATCGAACTACCCCTACTTCCCCAGCCCCACCTGGGAGTAAACGCCCTCCAAACTGGGATCACCAACCACGCACCTGGGAGCACGTGCACGTGCTGGTGGCCATCCACGTGCGTGGGGGCCCTGCCCATCAGCTCCCGGAAGCAGCTTAGTTGGGCCTCGAGCTCCTCCCGCACCTAGAGGGCGAGCGAGAGACACCTTGAGCAACCGGGAGTAGCTGCCGAGGACACCCTCCTCGTGCTGCCGTGTGACCGCTCCAGTGTTTAAATGAAGAAGTCATCCACCGCCATCTCCTAATGGCCTCACAGTACCCTCCGGGCGGAGCTCTGGGGTTCCTCGCGAGCATCCTCCTGCAGCTGCGGCTCCGCACCTGAGGCAAATCCACGTCTCCGGCCGCCACCGCCTCCCGGAATCCCATCTTGCCAAGGAAGAAGCCTTCGGGGCCGAGCAGCGACGAGGCGCCACGGCGGGCCGGACCCACTGGGCGGCCCTCGGACAGGTTGGCGTGGAGGCCCGTGGGGATGCTGTGCCTGAGAGCGGAGCGCGAGCTGGAGCACTGGCGGCCGCGGAGCAGCGCGCCCCAAGCCGATCGCCGCCCTGCTAGGGCCCTCCCCTCACCTGCGGGCCAGCTCCGCCGCGCTCTCCGTGGCCGCACCGTTGACCAGCAGGGACACGCTGGTCACGGCCCCGGCCAGAAAGGCCTCCACGATGCCCTCATCGCGTCGCGGGCAGTAACCAAAGTCGTCCGCGGTGACCACCAGGCGCACGCGAGGGCGGGACATGGCCGCCTGGGCCCACCACTAGCGCTCCCAGGGGAGTGGGCCGGACAGCCCAGGCCCCGCCCCTGGACGCTGCCCATGCCCCGCCCCGACGCACACTCCCAGGTGCGGCTGCGCTTCGCCTTTGTTCTCGCCACCTAGCGGTCCGGCGTGCCCCTGCAAGGACCCGGCAACAGCTCCCGCGCTAACCAGACCAGTGCTGGATTCATTGCAACGCGGAACTTTCCTTGACTGCAAAAGTGATATTTAATATGAAAAATACCAAAAGGAAGTCGGGCGCAGTGGCTCACGCCTGTAATCCCAACACTTTGGGAGGCCGAGGCGGGTGGATCACGAGGTCAGGAGTTCAAGACCAACCTGGCCAACATGGGCAAACCCCGTCTCTACTCAAAATACAAAAATTAGCCGGGAGTGGTGGCACGCGCCTGTAATTCCAGCTACTCGGGAGGCTGAGGCAGGAGAAATGCTTGAACCCGGAAGGCGGAGGTTGTGGAGAGCCGAGATCACATGACTGCACTCTAGCATGGACGATAGAGCGAGACTCTATCTCAAAAAAAAAAAAAAAGAAAGAAAGAAAGAAAAAAAGAAAAAGGAAAAATACCAAAAAAGAAAAAAAAAGAAAATCTCCTACCCTTCCCAGAGATTGCCATTGTAAACTTTCTGGGTTGTGTCCTTCCAGTGTTTTCTCTAAGCAAATAAACACACCCAACTCCCTTTCTCCCCAACCCACCTTTTTTGTGTGTTGTTTTGAGAACATAAAGATGATTACACCAATGTTATCACATTCTAGTAGTTTCTTAGATAGCAGTGTGAATGAAAATTTTCATATTATTAGCTATTCTTATTCTTTTTCAAATTGCCTATTGATCTTTTGCAGATTTTTATAAGAGCAGGCATTTTCTTGATTTATTTATTTATTTTTTCTTGAGCTCTAGACACTAAGAAAATGAAAGCAAGCATATACACTAATGGGTTTTTTTGAGAAAACATTATCTCCTGTTTCCATCTTGAGCTCTCTGCCAGGCTACAGCTTTTACATTAATAACTTCACTGTTTTTCTCTTTGGTCCAGAAAAGCTTTCCTTACCCATGACTGTATATGGTAGGCAGCCACAGTTTTCACTGCAATGTGGCAGTCTTGATTTTTCCCATGGTATTTGTGTCCAGACTATGAAATTGGTAATGTCATTCCTATTTCACAGATTAGGAAACGGGGGGTCAGAGAGCGAAAGTGTGGTCCTGCCAGGAGTAGTGGAGATAAGACTGAACCTCACAGCTCAGGGCCTGCACCCAGACCTGCTTTGTCCTCTCTGTCCCTGACCTAGTGGGTAGCCAGAGCTGAGAGGACAGAGCAGAACTCGAGAGTAACAATATTTCATGAGGTACGTGAGGATTGAAAGCCTCATAGAGTCCTTCAACCATGCTCTTGGCATAACGACTGTTGTGTTTATAGTGACTGGTGAATTGTCAGACCTCAACCAACCACCATTCTCCACTGGAAGCTGATCTTGGAAAGGTCAGAGGTCCCGAGGGTGCGCAGATGGGAAGGAGGAGACTGACATTTATTGAGCACCTACTTGGTGCCAGACACTGAAAGTATTAAAGATTCAGGGTGACTTGCCTCAGTTCTGGCCCCAAAGGAGCACCATCTGGTAGACACATAAGTAGCAACATGGTATGGTGGAGTCTGGAATGGGGTTTACTGTGAATCGTGTACGGAGTGGCAGAATTCACAGTAAAAGCTTTTTGGAAGAAGTGACACTGTGGTGGGGTATTACTGAGCAAAAGAGAAAAGGAGGGAGGGAGAGGAGGTAAGAATATTCAAGGCTTCACTGGGATACGGGGTGTGTTGTAGGGAGATTGTATTGAATCCCATATTCCCATATTGGAAGAACACTCAAGCCCATTTACAGTGCAGGACCAATGCTAAGAGAGGCTGAGTCACATTGGCAGGAAAGAGCAGAGCCAGGAACTGAAGCTAGGTCTGTGACTGAGAGCCAGCACTCTCTCCACTGCAGAGGGGAGAAGTCTCAAGGTAGAACCTGGGGCTGTGCACACCGCGGGAGGGGCAGAGGCCCCTGGAAAGGAACAGGAGCAGGAGGCCCAGGGCTGCGCAGCGACCAGGGAGGACACGAGGAAGGTGCTTGTATCACCGGTGGAAGACGTGGCTTTGGCTTTTAGACTCCCCTCGGGGCAGGAGCGGATCATAGAGCCTAGCCCCAGCTTCGGTGGTGGGTGGGGGTCCTCCTGGCAGCGGGGACGTAGACACCAACATCTTCACCCTGCGGCTCCCAGACGAGTGTGGGAGGGCAGAGTCCAGAGAATTGGAGGTTGGGCCAATGTGGGCCCCGCCCCCAACTATTGTGTCGGAGAGGGTAGTGGATGAGCTCCTTGGTAAGAACCAATGAGGATGTGGTATGCAAATAAGCAAGTGGAGGCCGCCAGTCGACTTCCTCGCACTGTATAGCTGCCCCAGTGAGGGCGCAGACTGTACTGGCCTGCGCGGAGCAAGGCGGTGTTTCTGGTGAGTCCGTTGATTCCGGGCTGGGGCGAAAGCCAGGTTGCCCAGGGTTTGGGAGTAGGGAGGGTTAAGCACACGCAGATCCAAAGATGATCGGAGACAGGATGGTCCTCGGCGATTCCATCCCGATGACTCTGGGAACTGCCTGCCTGCAGACGCATGAGGGCCATGGAGCAGAGGAAGGGCTGGATGCATGAAGGACGCGGGGTGCGGGCAGCAAGGGAACCGCAGATTCCAGGGCCACAGATGTGTGGACCTATTGGAGACCCTCACGTTGTCTCCCCAGCCCGCGCAGAGAGGAATGCGCAGCTGAAGAGAGAGGTGGGCAGCAGGCTCGGTCACCTGCCAGGTGACCACATGGCCAGGTGCCGCCACCACTCGGGCTACGTGGCTGACGATGAGGCCAGCCACTCCATGTGCAGTGCACGAGTAAGTGTGCCCAGCAGGACCCCGACCCTTAAGGCCACAACATGTTCCCCGCCAACCCTGACACCCAAGACCACAGCCCCCATTTCTCATTGTCTATTGACCTGCTCTGTGGGCCTCTTAGCTGAGTCCTTATTGCCTTGACTTCTCCTATGACTCCCCTGCTTGCCCCTGTCACACTCAATTTCATTCCTTGTTTCCTTCTGACTTCCAGCGACCTGGAAGGTGCTTGGGTGAACTGGGACCCTAGAGTGGGAACTGGGAGTTGACTAGGTGCCTAGGGCTCAAGTTGGAGAAACAGCCCTGGGTAGCACAGGGCTCAAGACCTCAGCTATTGTCTGCACTCAAGACCTCAGGTGTTGTTTGCAGCCCTGCCATGGAGACAGGGATGGCCTGCTGCATGGACAGATGAGGAGCTGGAGGGAGACTCCAAGAGGTTCATGATTGCTCATCCTGCCATGTATCAGGGCAGAAGCAGGCTAAGTCCCTTAGCCAGGACTTGTGTGTGTGAAATGTAGGTGTTAGGAAAGCTTCAGGGCGACCCTGAATAGACCTCCACTTTGCAGATAAGGAAATTGGACCTCAAGAGGGGCCATCTTGCACACTGTCATCAGGCTGTAGGTGGCAGAGCCAGGGTCCAAATCCAGGGCCTCCAGACTTCAAAATGCAGCTCCTTCCACTACTCACTCTCACTCAGGTCCTAGTGTTACCCTAGGAAGACCCCAGGGAGCCCTTCACCTGTAGGGCACCCATGCCCACTGTGACATACCTGTCTGCTCAGGTGCAGCTACCCAAGAAGCCACTGGTTCCAGAGATGGGGCCAGCCTCCAAGCCGGGCCATGTGCCACACCCACCATCCACATGTGGCAGCTCAGCGCTCCAGAACCAACGCCGAAACAAGAGGCACCCTCAGCCCTTTAGCCACTTTCTGGATTTCCTGACTGAGAGCCATGTCCTGGACAGCCTGGAGACAGTGGTGGAGAAGGCGACTGAGCGCATGGCTGCCATGAAGACCGAGGCTGGGGTGCCGCTTGTGGAGGTGCAGGACCCAGTGGAGGTGCCAAGTGGTGGGCGGCGGGCACATGCCCGGCCCAGCCTCAGCACTGTACACCGGCACCGTGTACGGCCGACCCTCTGCACTGGACACCCCAACAACTACCCATCCAGCTCCAGCTCCATGTCCGACTCCCATAGCAGCCTCATGGCTGGCTGGCTGGGCTCCCACAGCCGGGACAGTGACCTAGGTGCCCAAGGTTTAGGCTCACTGCCACCTGTGAAGGACAAACTCCTGCTGGAGAAGAATCTCAAGCGGCTGCTACAGCTGGAGAGGAAAGGGGTGAGAGCCGGGGCCATGGCTGGGTGGGGTGGACTCCCACGGAGAGCCCAGGGCCAGGGTCAGCCCTGGCTTGGCTGCTCCTGAACACTTCTCAGAGTCACCCTCTTTCTGCAGAAAGGCCTCAGTCAGTCCTGCTCCAAGAGGGACTCCCTGCTGTGGGATTTGCTGGGCAGCCAGACCAGCTTTCAGTGGACCCAGGAGCAGCCCCTGTCCTGGTTCTCGGAGCTGCTGGGCTCAAGCTCTGGTGTGCCTGAAGCATCAGAGCCGAGGCCTGGAGAACAGGAGCCGATCTGCAAACGAGAGTTCAATAAAGAGATCAAGTCGTTACTGAGCCAGCTGGAGTCCCTCGACCTGCCTGGCTACTGTCCGCTCCGTGAGCCCCATCGCACACTGAACTTCCTGGCTGACCACCGCCTCTTCCCTGCCCTGCAGAGCGTCGTCAACCAGGCTGTGGATAAGCTCCGCGGCGCCCGCTGCCGCGACGGCCGTCCTCTGTTCCCCACCAGCTTGGAGCCCCCCTCAGAGCTGCAGGTTCAACGCAATCTGCCGCCGCTGGGCTCTGAGCCGGCTAAACCCACCAACAGCGGGCAGCCCCACCCCACAGTCTCCAGCCCCAAGACGCCTCAGAGAAAACACAAGGACAGAGGAGGCTCCCCCTCCATGTCTAGTGCCCAGGTGGCCACCAGATTCAAGCTCAAGGTGACACCCATGGAGAAGCCCGATGTCCCCAGCCCCTCACTCCACTCCAGGGAGAAGGAGCCTGACTCAGATCCCAAATTACAAAACCCACCTGTTTCCCTGAGCTCCAGACAGAGGGCCCAG